ACAAAAATGGGGGAGTTGTTAATCTTACAGTCCAGAAACAGAGGACCCTAAGACCATCAAGGGAGAAGAGCACAAGCAGAATGCGGACCTTATCCAGAGAAGCAGCAACACCAGAGATGGAGGCAGACATGGGGACATAGACAGAGGGAGCAACTGAGGACTCTAGATTCATGGAAAGAGAGGAACTGAGAGCTGGAGGCCAGGAGGCAAGCTTGCAGAATGTGCCCTTTGGTGGTGTAAATTATTATATATGCCTCAGTGTTTAAAAAAAAAAAAAAGCTAAAATGAATAGAGAGAAATACTGTTAATTGATGGTACATGGAGGGGATTATAATCATTGTAATGTAAACCTGATGATCTGTCCTGTGAACTTTCACTCAATTCACAACAAAAAATGAAAAAAAAAAGATAAAGGAGAAATGTACAAATCCTCAGTGCTGTCTTCCAGGCCAGTTAGGAGAGAAAGCAACCCAGGGCAAAGTCCTATCATTAGTTCATGACCTGAAGAAGGACTGGCAACAATTTCCTCCACCCAGAGTACTTTTGGTGGGGCCACCAGGTGTGGGCCTTACACAGGGTGTTAATAATCTCCACTTTGCTATGAACATATGAGGGGGCTTCAAAAAGTCCATGGGAAAATTCCATTTATCTCCTAATTCCATTTTTCCACAAATTTTTGAAGACCCCTCGTATTGTACCCTTGTTCTCTCACTTGGGGGCACAACTGTTGATTTCCTGCTACCTCCCCTGTTTGCAGCATTCTGCTCTTTCTGCAGTGTACACTCTTGCTTCTTATCCATTGCCTGTACTATAAGGTCATACAACCAGTAGCCTCCTCTAACTTCTACTAGAATAATTCTTCACATGCTGGTTACAACTCCTAATTTGGAAATGAAAGTTGACATGAAAAGTGAACGTTACAAATGTTAATTTGCCTACCAGCACCTTTCCATAGATGCCAAATGTTAATAAATATTATTTGTTTGGTTTGTGATGTTAACTACCGAACTTCCCAAGAGTATCTTGCAGGATTAAAAGAATCCACCCAGTTAATGAGAGAGGGTTGGCTACTAAAGACAAAGAACCCTGAGGTGAGCCACTCCTCCAAGTAGCATTTCAAGAAGGGAGAGTTGTTGTCAGGCTGAAACAATGCATACTTAATGCACAAAGATCGGAGTCCTGGTGTGGCGCTGCAGGATAATACACTGGACAGCAATGTTGTTTTGAATCACAAGGGCAGCAGTTCAAACCAACCTGTTGCTCCTCAGAAACCCAATACAGGGTTGCTATGAGTTGGCATTGACTTGATGGCACTTAACAACAGTGTACAACACTTACAGATTGCAGAAAGAGAAAATCAAAACTACCTCATCTCTCTGAAACAACACCATCACTCAACAGGAATCACCACTGTTTTGCTGCTCATTTCTTTTTTCAGTCATTTCTTTGAAAATACATTACCAGTGCATTTTTTTGTTTTACAAAATGTGGCATTCACATTTTATAAAACAAAACTGCCCTGAAGGAATCACATTACAAGGTCCTGGATAGAATGGGAGAAAATGTGGAAGAAAGCTCAAAATTCTGAAAAAAAAAATAAAATAATACTAATGACCGGGCTAGTCAGAAATAAACTGGAGGAACCCAAGACAATGACCTCAACCACCCTTCAGGTCTGAATGGAACTCACCCTCAAGGCCCAATTTTCAGCCAAACAATAGATAGGTATATCAGGGAGAGAACAACACTAGTACGGAATGCTCACCATGGAGTGGTCCATCATTTAAGATCAAAAGGTCAACACTTACCTAAGGACAAAGTTGAGAAGGGATGGGAAGGTGGGTGGAATGGAAATACAAACCACAGGGAGGTAGCGAGATAACTGTTGTTACTTGCAGGAAATTGCAATCATTGAGATGAAGTAAAGTGTATGATTTGTTGAATGTAAAACTGATGATCTTAACTCAATTAATAAGAAAAAGTTTAAAATAAATAAATAGTGGTATTATTCTATACATGCTGTTACAACCTGCTTTTCACACTTGACTCTTTAGATTACCTTCCCATCACTGAGTAGTTTCCTAGGACTTAATTTTAATGGCTGTACAGCATTCCATTATGCGGGCATGCCATCATTTACATACCTGAGCCTGTAAGTTGTTACCTTTTTTGTTGAGGTGGGAAGAAACATTATAAAAATCATACTGTGACAAATATAATCAAAGAAAAATCTTTGGGTACTTGTGCAATTAATTCCTTAGGATAAATTCTCAGAATCAAAATTTCTAGGTTGAAATATATATATACGGCTGCTGCTGTGTGCCACTGAGTGGGTGCTAACTCAGTGACTCTATCTAGGATTTCCAAGGCTATAATCTTCACAGGAGCAGAAAGACTCATCTTTCTCCCACAAAAGGGCTGGTGGGTTTGAACTGCTGACTTTGAGGTTAGTAGCCCAATGTATAACTCACTATGCTTCCCTGACTCCATGTATATAACATGTTAAAATTTTGATTTTTAGTATTAGCTCGAAGAGCTGCTCCAATTTCCTTTGGTACATGGCGAGCAGCATGGGAGACTCCTGTCCCTGTATACAATTTATTCCAGTTGACCTGAATTGCCGCATTTCCCATTGCTTATAAAATTCCTAAAAAGGATGAAAATTGTACATTGATCTTAAAAGATGTGCTGGGTCTAAATGGCATTTTCATTTAATTTTAGAAGTCCAGAATAGAAACAAACACAATAAAAAAGTAAAAATCAGACTGGATGATCATCTGCTAACCCATCACTTAACACATCGAAAAATCTGGTGGTTCTCAAGGGCCTGAGGTAATAGTCTTGATTTCTTAGCATAACCTGGCTCCAAGTCTGAAAAACCCTTCCCCCGACTTCTGAGGGGCAAGGACTTTATCTGTTTGCAATTCAAAACTGGTCACTGTGAGCTGAACTGGGGTCTTTGTGTTTTCCACCTAGATTTACAGTAAGAGAAAAAAGGCAAGGGTAAAGTGGGTAATTTTTTTTAAATGCTGTCAGTTTAGGATGTGGTCAAGTAGATGCTCAACATATGAAATATGTCCAACACCAAGAAAAAATAGCATCAGAGAAGCTATACTACAATTTGTCAATTAAACAGAAGAGCATACATTTAGTAGACTCCCATGAATCAAGTCACTACCAGACCCTACGCAAATGAATCCTGGCTCTACCACTTAAAAAAAAAAAAAAAGCTTGGACAAGTTACTTAAAATCACTGAGTCTCAGTTTCCTCATATTTGAAATGGGATCAGATTTGTGAGGGTTAAATGAAATCACATGGAGCACACTATTAACCACATCTTTCAATGTTAACCCTCTTTTTTTCAATGACAAAATGCTTCCCAGAGCCAAGGATTTTCTCATGTGACCATCTACACCAATGCTGTCCAGTAGAGATTTCTTTTTCTGATGGTGAAAATGTTCTATTCCTCCACTATCCAGTATGGTAGCCTCTGCTTACATGTGGTTACTGAGCACTTGAAATGGGGCAAGTGCAACTAAGCAATGGAATCTTAAATTTGATATAATTTAACTTAAATAAAAATTTAAATCACTACATGGATTAGACCACATAACTAGGTATGACTCTATGTTTGAGGATCTGAGCAGAGAACCCAAAGGTCTGGAGGAAGACAAACATGTCTGTTTTTGGGGAGTAAGGGAGCTAGCAGGGGTGATGGCTGTTATAGGTGAGCAAGAAAGTAGGAGGAATATTTAATAAGGTCAAGTCCTGCTCAGCCCTAGGAGGAAGGGCAGGTGGGGTCATAGCAGGAGGCTGATGGTACCACCCTCAGCCATGTGACAGTGTTGGCAGCAGCAACATAGAGTATTAAGGTGCTTTGGAAGCCAGTAGTGAAATGATAAAACGCCTCAAGGCATTGCTATTATCTCTAGTCAGTAGCTATTGAATGTGGCAGTGAGTCTTAGAAAAAGTTTGTACCTCCTGAATGAAGTGGTAAATGGCAGTTCCCAGAAACCTGTCTCCAAAAAAAGAGGAGTTTCAGGTTGTTCCATGCTTTTGAAATAAGAGTGGATGTGCAGATATCCTAGGGATATTTGTCCCTCCCAATAAAAAAATGTGTTGATGGTCATACTTCTGTGTTTCCCACCCACGTTACCCTTTGGACTCTGATATTCACTCCACTTGGAGACTTTTTAAAGTACATGAACAGCAAGTTTGGAGAAATTAAATGCAATATGGTTAGGTTAAATGATACCACATTTTCGGCAAAGAACAACGTTCAAATGAGCAGTGAGACCCTTGGCCAGTAAAGCACTCTTCCATTCCTCCCCACCTGCAAGAATGTGTTTTTCTTTGACATTTGAGCTCATTTCCCCTGTCTCTGATGTTTTCCTCACTGCCCTTTTTGCCTCCTCACTGATGCAAAAAGAACAGAGCCTCGGCTAATTACCCTCAGATCAAATAATACTGGTTATTGTAATTGGTCATTGTCCGAAAACACAGAGTTCTTCTTAGCCCTGAGGTTGCCTGGCACGGTTTAGTTAGCTAACTATTCCGGGAATGTCTCTATTATCTGTTTTACTTTGCAAAAGAAACTAGGGATTTGTTGAAAGCTGGTAATAAAAGTCTGCCCTGGTCTGAGCCGAGACTGCGTAGAAAGGGCCTGGGAAAGCTTGACCTCAATGAATCAAACCGCACCCCTTCCAATAGTCACTCAATGATGTTATTTGGTTTCTCTGTGTCTGAGAATAATAAACCCACTAGGTTTTCTTGCAGACCAACGTTCCCTCATTCTCAGGGCCTGGGACATGGTTGAGGGGTACAAGACAGTTTTAATGACCAAACTCACTGAAAATAAAATGGTGCCCAGAGTAAAACTAAGAGAATCACAGGTGGCTCTTTGGATCTGCCAGTGACCTTTTCTGGGACTTAGTCAGTGAACTGAGGTCCAGGGAAATGCTCATCTGTTGCTTAAAGATAAGTTCCTCAAGGTACTTACCTATTCCAGACCATTTGAAGGCTTTGGGGCTTAGGCAGCAGGAACCATTCTGAAAAGTACACACAGAAACATGATGAACAGAATTATGTCATGGAACTGTACATGTGAAGATATGGAAAGATATAGCAAATGTTTTGTTACCTATATATTTATCCAAAAATAAATCAATAACCCAAAAATCTTGTTGTGAAAAATATTATTAAGACCGAAATGTTATTCTTGGCTGGGGGTAACAGAAGAGGCAGATATCAGGTGGGTAGGCAAAACAGATTTTTATTTTTTTAGCTAGATGAATTTTAAGGGCTCTTCTCACTGTGAATTTTGATGATACTGTGGGAAGTCATGGAAAGCAGTAAAGTCAACAAACATTCATTGGACATCTACTGTGTGCAGAGCATGTGCCAAGTGTAGTGAAGTCTATAAAAGAACTCAAAAGAAAGCTCCCATCCTTGCAGAGTGCATGATTTATTTGGGAGAACAAAGCAAACACGCATGAAAAGTCCTGTGATGGATGGTAGGGCAAAATCTCAAAAACCTACTAAATGGTCAAAAGTAACGGCTAACTTTATATATGTCACTTACTGTAAAAATGGAAGTGAATTCGGGCTTAGGTAGTGTGTGTGCCACCAAATCAGTTCTGACTCACGACAACTCTGTATAGGATTTCCAAAGTTGAAAATCTTTATGGGAACAGAAAGCCTCATCTTGCTCCTGCAGAGTGAGTGGTAGATTTGAACTGCTGACCTGGCAGTTAACAGCCCAACTCATAACCCACTATGCTATCCGGGTTCCTTGAATCCTGGCTTGGTTCACCCAAAATGGACAATATTAAGAATTGTCATTTTTCTGTGGAATACTCTCAATAACATTTATATTTGCATATATACGTTACTATTATTTTTTATATTGACAGTATTAAACCAAAATAAAACCACCATGAAAGAATACAGTTTTCTCACTCATTCAAGCAATATTAATGGAATGATTGATCACTTTGTAGAAGGGCAATAAGGGGAGCTTTGGAGGATGTAAGAAGTTTTGGGATGAAGTGGTATTTATGTGCCATCCAGTCAATTCGGATTCATAGCAACCCTGTACAGGGATTCTGGTGGGTTTGAACCACTGGTTTTGTGGTTTGCAGTTCAGTGCTTATCCTACAGCCTAGCCTCATTAGGAGTCCCTATCAAATCCTTTCTTCTCCTATTCCACACTGAGAAAAAAGCATGTTGACTCTCATTTAAAATGATATTTCTACTTACACCCATCTGGGGCCTGAAATTTTACTTTTGAGGTTTAAAAGAGCTATTCTTTCAGTTTCTATAGAAATGGGATAAACCGAGGCTATTTACCACAATAAAACATTTCATCGGAGTTGGGCAATAATTATTTTGATAATACTGACACATATTCATATTTGTGTGTGCATGGGAAATGATCAGGAAGCCAAATCACCAAGTTGTTGACAGCAGTTATAAAGACTTACTCTTTTTACTTCCATGCCACAGTCTTGAATTTATTTTTGTTCAACCTAAAACATATATACGATTACTTTTGTAACTTCAAAAGTTACGTTCAAATAGACCAAAGCTCATTTCTGGTTAACGGAGACAGCGTGTGTTTGGGAGTGGATGGGATGGGGGTCATTGCTTAAGGGGTACAAAATTTCTGTTAAAGGCAATAAAGAATTTGGAAATGGACAGTGGTGGTTATTGTACAACATGGTAACTGTAATTAATGTCATTGAATGCATGCATAAAAATGGTTGAAATCTTTTGGTATGCATACCTCACCACAGGTAAAAAAAAAAAAAAATGTTAAGTTCAATTAAAAATTGAATTTATAGTACTAAGAGGAGTAAAGTACAAGGAGTGATCAAAGAAAGTGATTTAAGTTGAGATCTCAAGGTCAGATGCAATCAAACATACACTGCTCTGCTGATGTGTATGGTGGGCACTAAATGATACACTTGTCCATATAGGTGACTTACTCTCTGCTCAATGTGCCTATATTCAAATAAACAAGAGATATAAGATTATCGGGTATTTTCTTAGTATGTCTGTTTCCAAACTATTTTCTTAGGAATTGCCTTATTTTGTCCCCTCACAAGTCTGTTTTACAAAGATGTTTACAGGCTATCTGTTTACAGTTCTTCTCTGGACAAAAAAAATCTATTTTCTCATTCATCATATCCTATTTTCCAATAAACAATGAAACCCATTTTTATCTTCTCCCAGTTTCTATTTTTTCTTTCTTTAGGGCCATATGTGCTGTGTGTGTGTGTAGTTTTTGTTTTTGTTTTTGTTTTCCTTTCTGGTCTTCAGTATTTAAAAAAACAATAAATTATTTTGTTGTTACTGTTGTTGAGAACATACACCAATTCAAAATGTCTACAGGTTCAGTTCAGTGCCATTGATGCCATTGTTGGAGTTACGTAACCATCCTCATCTCCTTTTTCTCACTTGTTCCTCCCTCCTAGTGCGCTCACTGTCCCAAAGTTTCCTATTCAACCCTTTAAATTGCTTTTGTCATTTTAATCCCATATAGAGAATTCTTCAAAAGAGCACACTGCTCAATGACCTTTAGTAGTTTTATATTATTGTGAATTTTAGAATTATACTTCTGTGGAACAAAAAAAGAGCACAGGTTTTTAGTTAGCTGAATTAGGGTGTAAATACTGACTCATCACTGCTTCAAATGCTCCAACTGAACTGACGTGAGATATTTTAACCATGGTGAGCTTCAGTTTCCTTAACTCAAATTGGAGGTCACATTTATCTCACAAGGGCGTTGAAGCGATTCAGTGAGATAATGAATGGAAAGTACTTGCTTCTGAGAATGTAGTGAAATAAATTCCATTTGTCTCTCCTTCCTGTGATGAGCAATGTGGACAGTGCATGCCTAGGCATTCTGACCCTAGACCTGGGTTAGAATTGGCTTCTGCCCTTAACTAGCTGTGTGACCTAAGGGTTTTGTTTAACCTCAGTGGGCCACAGTTTTCTCATATGCGGAAGGGGAATAATTCTAGCCCCTACTGCATAAGGTTATAGTGACAATTCAAATAGTTGTTCCTCACATTTCCCCCCCTTCATTTCTGCCCCTTCCCCATGTCTGATTACCTTATTAAATCAATTCTACTCCTCACTCTAAACTGAGATAAGAGTATCTCATTTAAAATGATATTTTTGCGGATAACAAACAAGATGGCAGATCGGGTGGATGTATAGCAGAGAGATCCGCCAACAACAACACAGAATACCCGACCAAGCAGGTTCAGGGGATGGTCCCAGAACTCTGAACCACATGTAAAGGAATACTTAGAAGGTTGGAAGGCTCACAGCTGGGGGAATTTGTGGCAGAAGCAAGAAATCTATTGCTTTCTAGTCGGGGATGCTCAGCTGCTCCAGGAGCTGCCATCTTGGGTGAGACCACGTGAGGGAAAGATCGGAGAGGCCACAGATGCCTGGCAGAACCACTGAGATAAAGGTGTGGACATTCTTTTCTTTTGGTATCTGTGCATTGTTCCCTTGCTGTCTGCACACCTCCATTCGGGTGACTATAGGGGTGCCTGAGCTAGTGGGCACCCCAGCCCCACCCTCAGAGGGTTCTACTATGCATGCACACAGATCTCCTCGAAATTTAAAGAGACAGTTTCCAA